GGCACGTCCTCCCCGGCGGGGGCGCGCCCGGGAGCCTCGCCACCAGCCCTCTCTCCACCAGAAGGGCAGGCTTGGGGCTGCCTTTTCATTTGTTTTTAATACCCTGCCAGTATACTGGTTTGTAAGCCAAATGTAAAAAGCCACCCAGAACCTGGCTTCCCAGGCCTGTCCACGCAGCAGAGCCCTGCTAAAGCAGCTCTCCCGCTTCCAAAGGAGTTGCGAAATTAGAAATTAGGAAAGCATGGCACGCACTCTTCCCCCCGGCTAAAGCATCTTCCCCACACGGCCAAGCCAAAATCCCGCAGGCACGGCCGGCTGTGGCCATGGAAACTGCGGGTTTAAGCGCAGGGGCTCCCCTGGCTTTGTGCAGCTATGCCCATCCATATTAGCTGGAGATCTGTCCGCTGATTTATGATGGAAGCACTAACAAACCCTTAAATGGGGCACGGCAAATAGCAGCATTATACCAGTACCATGGCACGGGATGCAGAGGCTGTCTATTGCTCCCCGAGGATTTGTTTAAGGACAAGAACCATGATGAATACAGCCTGGGTGGCTCAATTACATGGGGACTCAATTACTTAAAACAAAGAAACTGGATGAAAAAAGTATGACAAAAATTCAGAATTATTTCTCTGCTGGAGGTCACATATAACAGCCCTGTCATCCATAAATCTGGAAATCTCTAAGGCATGCTACTCCTGTGTTGAGAGATGACAATTAATTGGTATTTTACTTACCTCATCCATGCAAATTATGCAGGGAAAAATTCTAATTACTGCATGCTACATGTATATAAGGTCAAAGTGGGCCAGCTTTTGACAGTGGTGTAAAATGGATTATGTTTATCCTTCACATGAGGGCCATGATCCTACATGAGCCACGGGGCTCCTGCCCCCCACCGCTTGCAGGGACCATGCCGGCGCCGGCGAGGCTTGCGGGCACAGCCGTCCTTTGCAGGAGGGACGGATGGACCGGGCAGATGCACAACCGGGGGGGCGAACGCAAGGCGAGGTCAGGGAGAAATGCAAAGCGCGTGGGGAGCCACGGGGTTCACATCTGGCCCCAAGCAACCCGGCGCCTCCCTGAAGCAGGCACTCCCCATAAAGCGCCCCGAGTCTTGTCTGAACAGGACCCCTCACCCTCTAAAAAATTGGGATCCTGCCTTCTGGAAGGTCTAGGGGGCAGAAAGGGGAAGACAAAGGGTTTGGGCACAGGGCTTCTTGCTGGCGAAGGGCACTAAGAGCTTACGTGTGCCCCGAAGGAAGCCCTGCCAGCCGCATGGGGGCTGAGGCCGGGGACTCAGGACCGCGCCAGGACACGAGTCCAAGCACCCCAGCGGTGGGTGATCGCTGCTGGGGCTTGCACCGAGCCCCCAAGGCTGGGACAGCAACTTACCCAGGAGTCCAGGGTTGGGAAACCTCCAGGAGTCGTTGTACGTTGAGTATTGTGGGTGGCTGTACGGGCTCCCAGAAAACTCGCTCCCTAAGTTAAAGAGAGAAAGACAAAAGAAAAGATCATTTGGTTTCAGACCACTGTTATGGTGGGGGGGGAAGAGAGCTGCTCGGTGTGCGCTGTGCGCCAGTGGCAGCCATAGTAAAAGCGCTGTTGGCCACCCTCTTTGAGGACGGGCAGTATGAGTGGGCCGATTGCTAAATATGTGGGTGCAGCCATCTTTCACGTGTCCTTCTTGCCCTGCAGCCCAGGCCTGAGCTGGAGGCGTTTTCCCAGGCAGCCCATGCTGCGGGAGCAAGACGGCGAGGAGGGATGGCGAGGAGTCCGGGACACACCGGGGGGACTGGCCTGTCCCTCCATGGCCCTACGGCACCGCATGCAAGAAACACAAGACAAGGACAAAGCTGCCCAGGCAGGCAGATGATGGACTAGCTAAGCTTCTAGGTACTGGGTACCCTTCCAGGCTCTTACACGTGGCCTTGGTCCCAGATGTCCACCCATCACTGCAGCCCAAGGAGAGGGATGCTTGCATCGGTTTCAGATGACTTTGAAGCCCCCCAGACAATGGCAAAGAAAAGGCTCGAAGGGGCATCGCTATCCATCTCCTCCCCAGCTCCCACTCTCCCCATGTTTGCTCTCTTCACGTCACCTCCCGTTCCATACATCAGCTTCAGGATCCATCAGGACAGAGCCTTGCATCGCGGGGCTCTGACCTCAGGGCAGGGCACCCAGCCCCACCACCATGCCAACGCCAACACTGCTTCCCATTTATTAGGAAATCTTCCACCAGCGATGGCTTCCTGCTCTCCTCCTCTCCTCCGTCCCCCTCTCCCCTCCCCTCTCCCGCACACGTACACGCACGCATGACACAGCACGGATGGAGAAAGCGCAGGATTCCTGCGGCAAGAGGCGGAGAGGGCTGCCAGGCCACAGCAGAAGATGCTGGCTGTGACCTTGGACTGTTTGGTCCTCAGTGCTGGCATGGTCCCTACCCCAAACCCGGGGGCTGCCTCCATCCCAGCAGGGTGGCAGACCCCTGCCGCTGCGTCTCCAGCACCTCAGGCTCAGCACCCCCAGCCAGCAGGACCCACAGACCTGCCCCGGGGACCACCTCTGGGTCCCTGGGCCCATGAGTGGCCTCCCCACTCAGGGCACGGTTTTGGCAAGCTGCTGACCTGCTGCCCCAGGGGAGAGGGGCCGATGCTCTGGGGAAGGCAGCCCCGCGGCGCTGCCCTGCCATCGGGGGAGCTCTGGGCTGCCATAGCTCTGCAGTCCGGGCAGGCACCGCCCCCAAGGGTCCTTTCTGCCGATATGGAAATAACGCAGGTTGGTGACAAAATCTAGGGTCAGGTCCAGCATAGGTTGGTCTCCACGTGATGCCGCTTCCATAAAAACAAGCTGCCTCTCAGCCTGCACAAAAGGACGCCGGTAAGCACGCTGAGTGTTGACAGTGAGAGCCTGCCCGTCACTGGGTTGCTCCAGGGGGTCTCTGTTGACAACCCTCCTCTGCTCCCCACAGCCCTTTGGAGGCAGGGGGCTGCACCCACCAGCCTCGACCTGCTCTCTCCCCCCAGACCAGCATCCACAGACGAGGTCCGAAGCCAGCGGCGGCGAGCGCTTCCACGCTCAGCACGCCTTGCTGTTTTGACCACATCTCCGCACAAGCTCAGAGCCGGTCTTCATGACTGTCTCCAAGGAGCGGCACCGTGCACCATGGAAAATGGAGCTGTTTCCAGACCTTTCTTCCCACTGAATTACATCTACGTTTCCTACCCGCTCCCTGTCCTGGGTGACAGATGACTTGAGGACCTGAAGGTTACCTTCACCACAGCACTCATTCTAACACAGCAAGACACGGTGAAGACGGCGAAGCCAGAAGAGATGTCGGGAGCCACCTGAGGCACCAGGGCCACTGGCAAAGGCATCCCCCATTGCCTTCTGCCAGCCAGGGGCAAGCCCCAAGGCAGGATGCGGTGGCTTCTCTCTGGTCCCTTCTTCTGGCTCCCCACTGCCGCACCTGAGGCCGGCTGCTCAGCCAGAGCCCTCCCTGCTCGTCCCCTGTCCCCAGACCCCCCCTGGCCTCCAGAGAGTCTGTGACGTGGCTCTGCCCTAGCAGTGTTTGCCAAGCCCCCAAAGCAAACTGGCTGGAAACGTCACGGGTGGGTGATACGAACTTTCCCCATCCTTGAAGGCTCATGGCCAGGTCCTCTTTCCAGCGTGTGCCACCCGAAAATCCCCTCACCCTGTGGGTGCCTCTTCTACAGGGAGAGGCTCACACGCTGCCTGTCCCAGTGGTTTCATCTCTTCCGTTCCACCCCTGGTTTAGTGACACAGAACCACTGTGCTGCCTGACTGGCACAACACGCGGAAGGCAATGGGAGCGAGCCTTGCTGCCGCGTCCTCCCCTGCAGTGGCACGGCGCACAGACAGAGGGACAGGATGGAGAGGACAGCAGGACAGACCCCGATCCCCACTGCAGGGTGTGCAGAGGAGCGCGCCCAGCTCCTCCGTGCACTGGTAGCACCCTGGGCTTTGGGCAAAGCCGGCAGCGAGCAGCGGCACCCCTGTGAGAGCTGACCCGAGGCCGGGCACGCGTGCCCACCCGAGGACAGGACAACCCCTCGTCTTCGGCTGTCCCACCGCTCTGCCTCCCCCCGCTCT